CCCCTCCTTCCTTCTCTGTAAGAAATGAATCATACTCTATGCTCCGTGGTTCCTGCCACTTGAGGGCTAGACAGTGATGGAGATGGCTAAGACTTCTACATTGGTCTGCTCACTTTGCATGTCATCTCCTGTCGGCATCCAGGAACTTCCCCTCCATTCCCCCTTCCCACCATAGCGAGCCGTACACTGTGGTGAGCCATAACACCTTTGCTATGATCATGGAACAGAAACACAAACATTGATATGGCACAGAAGCTCAGGCATTCATAGAGCACTTACATTTTGTTGTGGAGGACATTCTGAGCAGAAACTTTGCTAACTGCTCTTGTTCCAGTGCTTCTTGCATCACTTCTGTCTGAGGCCATAATTAAGTGAATGTGCAGTTATTTAAAATCACTATTTCTCACTTTACAAAGCATGTGGTTTGATTTTTATTGAATCTTCTTTCCCCTTTTTGAAGATGGTGAGTGTGGCTTGTTGCACATCTCTCATGTATATTGCAATGTGGTTAGGAGTATGTATGAATCAGCCCTCAAAATAAACTGGTTAGAAACAAATCTATTAGAATGTTACTAATGAGGTCGTGGAGAATGACTTTGGTCATTTGGTATGGGAATAATGACTTATCCAATCTGGCAGTAGGAAGCTGCTGTTTCTGGGTCGGTCTCTAAATAGTTGATACTAAATTGTCTGAATCACAGTAATTGTGATGGTATGACTGTTCGTATGCCACATATGATGCATGTCTGTAGCAGCTCATGCCGTAGTCAGTGTTTTTAAAGAGCCATGAGACTGTCTGTCCTTCTTGCTCATTCAGGTGCCACAAACTAACAGATATTTTTCTAGCACTCACAGATATTTATGGCAGCAGATCGCTTATTGTTATTCTTTTTTTTTTTTTTTTGGACTAATTTGCTGTAAACCATCCCGAGACTTTTAAGTATGGGACAGTATGGAAAAGTTGTAAATAATAAATAAATAATAAAACTGCTTTATAACTTTGAAAAAGCATAGCTAGGGGTTTTCTTATCACTTGATTTTGTTCAGAAAATTACCTTGACTTTGGCAAAAACTGCAGGGTTCCCTTTTCTTTGTGCAGGATCTTCTGACTGCAGGAACAATGGATGTATCTTTATAGTTGCAAGAAGAATGTTAACACTAGTTGTAATACCATTAGGGAGTGGCCCCATCCCACTGCCACCTTGTTTGGGACATCTTGCATCCTTCTAACCATATAGGGTGTTATACCTTCTAATTTTGTATGGTGCATCTCAGCTGTCTTCACCTTTAAAATCTGTCAATCAGACCTGTCAGACTTCAATTGGGTGTGGCATCTGTACTGTCTAATAGGTGTGCCAGATTGTGCTAGCTTAATTGTGAGCCAAGCTGTTGCTAGTGTCAGCTCTACCTATTCTTGTGTGAACTCATGCTGGGACACCATTGTGTCATGCAGTGTCAGGAAGCTTGCTGGGAGAATTCCAAAGCTACTGAAACAAACGTATAATGGTTAAGTAAGGAAGTAGCAAGTCTGCTGCTGCATTTGAAAGGGCCCCATTTCCCCAGCTACTTCCTTTGATGACTCTTTTCCCTGAAACCATTAAGAATTTCTCCCTAACAAAGTGCCCTACTCCACAGAAAAAGGTTTATCCGGTTTTGTTCTTCCTTTCCTGTGCTCAGGTGAAGTGGCATGGCAGAACCCCAAGGAGACGTAACACAGTGTTTCCATTCCTCAGTGCCCTAGAAGCTGTCTCCTGTTTTTTGCTTATCAACAGAAACCACAGAACATTAGGAATACACTGTTTTATGAAAGGTGCTTTCATTACTAAGTGTGTACTGAAAGAAGGGAGATCTCATTACCTACTTGGAGTGCTTAGGTCCCCTGAATATTAGAGGAAGAGAAATACATTCCCCCGCCCCTATCCCTGCTAGCGCAGTGGAATACTGGTTCACTTTGTCCTCTGAGAGGAAATTTTAGTTACTGCTCTAATCTATCACTGGTAGGTTAGTGTGCAGTTACTGATAACATGCTGGAACAGCCATCTCCAATTCATGTCTTCCAGAACTTTAGAATTTGATTCTTATTAGGCCGAGCTAGTATAGCCAATACTCAGAAATGTTCATGAATGCTAGGAGTAGTCATTTATAAAAGAAAAAATCTGGAGGGTACCAGGTTGGTTAAGTCTTCTCTGGGGGTGGGGGGCTGCCCAGTATGTCTCATTGTGGTGCCTAGGAAAATGTTTGCTGTTTCTTGCAGAATTTGCCAGTGGGGAAGGCCTACAATTGTAGGAGCCCTTCCAATAGGCAATCAGTGACAAAATACTAGTGAGAACACAGTCTCAAGTAGGAGTTTTCCAGATTTATCTGTATGATTTTTTTAAAGTGGAACAATTGGTTTAAATTTAAATTTAATTTAATATATTCAAAGTGTTCCCTCTGAACAACTGCATGCTAATTCAAAGCAATTCTGCTTCTTTATAAAATATTTTTCTGTGGTGTTACAAAGGGGGCATATTTGGAGAGTATCAGTTTAGCATGGTCCCTGAATTTTGTTTAATCAGCTACTGCTTATTCTCAATTTCTAATGGAAAAACTGTAGTAGGTAGTTGTGAGATTTCCATTGCAAACAAATGAATAAATACCAATTATGAGAAGCATTCCTAAATATGGTTTTGTGAAGATTTGTAGATAATGAAGAGTAACAAATATCTGTTTACTTGGCATTCAGCACTGTGCTGGATATATCACAGAAGAAATATAAGTTGTCACTGGAAAGAGTTTATAAATGCCTTATAAATGGAGGTGGATGCAGCAAAAGGCCTTTTTCTCTTTTGATGGCATTCAGGTTGCAATCTTCGACAAGCTGACCTGAAAGTAAGCCTAATTATATACAGTGGGAATTACTGCTGAGGAGACATATGTAGAATTGCATTGTCAGAGTAATTTGATGTTTGTTTTCATTTCCCTATATTGCTTCTATGAGATAAGGAATTCATTGCAGAATTCAGTTCAGGCTCCATAGATGCACACAACTGAACACAGAAATGAGTCTCCTTTCCACTAAATTATATTTGTCTAGTTCTTTCTGTACCTTTATCTTGTAATACACTGAAGAAACAGATAATTTTTATAGTGCTGCCTTTTCCATTTGTTTCCACGTTCAATTGTTTTTTCTTTAAAACAAGAAACTAAGGACACTATCCTGTGCATGTTTAGACACGCTGCAGCTGTTCAGTCTGTACATATACAGGGTTGTTCCCTAACTTATAGTCTTCCAAATGGCATTTACTAATTTCTTGTATTTGAATGTCTATGACCCCCTTTTTAACCACATACCTGCTAAATGACACCAAATGTGGGCTCAGGTTAAAATACTTCAAGCAGCCTTAGAAAAGTCGTTGTCTCTCATTAGGCTACCTACAAGATTTAAGAGTACAAACTAGACTTTTCATCCATTTTTTGCAAAAGGCCTTCAGAAATGAAGTTTTGGTCAATTTTTGATCTTCAGGTTTATATTGTAATTATTTTTGGAAAGATATGATATACATTTAAAAAAATAAATAGTACAATATGCTTCTTTCCATTGCATCACTTTGCATGAAGCTTGTGTCTCGCATGGTCAGCCATGGATGCTTGTATGAAAGTCTTATTTCTATGTGCATGTGCCTTATAGCTGGATTTAGATGAAATAATGCTTTGCTTAAATAAAAATAGGATCCATGGGAACTAGATGCTAGCTAGTCAGTTATAATGTGAATCCTGAGTTCTAGTTTGGTTTTAGAGTTGTTTCATAAACCATATGTTGGATCCAAACTTCATTCTCTGTGAATAGAAGGTATTTGATCCAGTAGAGGGATCCTGAAAGCTGAAAGAGAGATGGTCTTGCTCATTTCTCCCTTCCCTGCTCCATGCACCTTCTGAAAGTCTGCTCTAGAGGAGACTTCAGGAGCAGAGTTTGAGAGGAAGTAGGCAAAGAGGAATCAGAAAAATTGCTTCCTCTCATTCATTGGCGGGAGCAAAGTCTGGATTTGTAAGTATGCATTTATGTTGCTAAGGTGGTGTACAAATCTGACAGTAAATAAATACCAAAGATTCTTTCAGCTGGTGATGACAGGAATTGAACCTTGTACTTTTGGTGCACAAAGCATTGTATTCTGTTAATAAACTGTAACCTCTCAGTTGTTGGTCATTCTTTAAAACAATCTATATGCTATCCTTCTGTTATGGAAGTGTATTTAACAGTGGCGGCCACAAGCTCATCCTACAGATAGGGTAATCAGTGAGTTGCAACTGCTGAGAGTTCTTTTTAATGACAAACCCATCAAGGTTATCTTGGATAATCTTGGACATAAATTTCTATTCAGCTAAAACTTCCCATGTATAAAATAGGAACTGCAATGATTTCTTTGAGATGTTTTCTGATTGAATGAACAGAGGATCATAAAATGATTTACAAATGGGGGTTGGAGCCAACCCTTGCACAAGCTGAAGTCTGTTTATGCACTGGGATTTTCCTATTCTCTTCTTTCCCCTGCAACCCCTTACATATGCCCCCAAACTGCTCCAGAGAGTTCCTCCGAAACAGATTAGAGAGAGCATGCAGAGAACTGCAAGGAAGGGGGGAATCTCTTGTCGGCTGTTCTCTCTCATCCCGTAGGCACAATTGGATAAAACCCGGAAAGTGCTGTAGAATTGCTCAATAAAATAATTTGGCTATACTAGGTCAAGCTATATTAGGTTAAGTCATGACTGTTAAAATTAACAATTATATTTACAAGTTGATTAGCAACTTTGCCTATAATTCTCTTCCTATCAGCAGCTGCGTAAATATGTTGAAATTATGCAACCATGAGCAAAGGATTTAATGTTTCAGTTTCTGATGTTACTGCAGATAACAAAGGGCCTGTCATTCAGTTAAATGTGACTATAATCATTGTCTTGACTTGACTATAATCATATTGGGACTTCTTCAACTGAACCCTTTCACCTCTTCATTATTTTAGGCATGTACTGGTATAGAAAATATTGATGAAGCTATCACCTTACTTGAACAAAATAACTGGGATTTAGTGGTAAGTATTTATTTTTACTGGCTGTATGTGAGAAAAAAGTGACTTTTATCAGAAGTTAGTATTAGAATTATTGTTACATATTTTGTGGTTATGTTTCTGTGCTTGAGAACAGAAGAATTTAGGGTTGTTGTTTTTTTAAACAATGCTTACATAACTCTTAAAAGAAAAGTGTGGTGGAATAAACTTATTTGGAACAGTCTGACTTGTTGAATTAGCTACAGAGGCTTCAGGATTTGATTTCAGAAAACTGAATCTATTTTCTGGATTCTCTATACACTGATTCAGGGTTCCACCTGCAAAAAGAGCTTAACTATGAGCTGACTTGTTTCTTGGTAACTGGGATAAGGTCAGGCCACTGAAAAGAGAGTTGATGAGGGTTTTTTTCATATTCTGCTGCTTCTACAGTAAGGGTGGACAACAGTGGGTGAACCAGTGGCCAGTTTCCAGCTGTAGCTCACCCTACCACAAAGGGCCTACACTCTTGAGGCTGCACAACAAAAGGTAGTTTTTTATCAAATTATGTGACACACCACTATTTTAAACATTGCAGAGATGGTGGTGTAGGGGAGTAATAGGAATGACATGAATCACACTCACACCCTCAGGATGGGTATTGCTCATCCCTGCTCTGCATTCTACATTAGTGATACTGTTCCCAGGGTAAATCCAGGATATATTGGATGAAATTGAGTGTGGCTTGGCAAACAAAGGCTTAAACTAGTGCTTCAAGGAATCAATTTAATATAGTGATCACTTTAATATAGTGTTGGGATGCAAATGATAACGCAGTTCTGTTGCTATCAATTGAATGGAGTGGAAGTGTCAGTTCTTTGGGGGGTGAAAAAAATTCAACATATTTTCAGGAAACACCAAGCTTCCTAAGATTAGCAGAAACAACCCCCTTCCCCCCACCTTTTCAAATGTCATTTGGCTACTTCAAGCAGCATCACAGTTTTTACCTTGGTAGTCTAGGTAGCTTCCATGTTTCCCCCATAATGCCTTACCTAAAGTGATGCAACATCACGATGTAGCATCTTTTCAGAGGCTTTGCTGTTGTTGGTGTGGGAGATGAATGTTTTCAAGTCTTCATACTTGTTTGTAAACAAACAGTTAATTTAACATTTGGTATCACTGTGGCTTTATGATATTGCAGTTATGTTCTTGGTGATAATGCATCAGTTGTGTGTGAAGCTCTGATCAGATATTATATGAAATGATGGAATGCCACTGTACTTTCATGTATGAGGCCCATAGTGGAAATAATGTTGATAATATGAAACTATGTACATTTCCAAAAGATGCCAGCCTCTAAGTTCAAAATAAATGCAGAGGGATGGGTTCTATGGAGAAAAATTAAGGCTTAAACTGGGAAGTTGAACCCCTGAATAAAGAAGTTGAATTTTAGACCAATACCACAGTCATCTACTCACAGAACATAACTCTAACTATAGTATGGAATTCATTTGGGGAATTCACATTATGTATAACTCCTACTTCTTTCTGGAGGTTGGCATGTGGCTGAGTTCAGCACCAGGCAGATTATTTTGAGACTCTTCAGAAACATGGTTAAGTATGGCATGGTTAAGAAATGCATGAGTATATATAGGTGTAGCTAAGTGAAACTGGTGCTCATAAGATATACATAAGGTTTTCATGGGGTTAGTAAGGTTAGGTAAATACCTGTTTCCTATTTTCCCTGAATTTTCAGCAGTTCCTTTGCAATATCCCTTGCCAAAAATTAACAGTGCTTGCTAATCGTGTCAATGAATAGAATGTATTTCCTTGGGTCAATGAAAGGTTTAAACTTGGGAAACAGAGAGTGTGCCTAGCATACCACACACTTTAGATTGGCAGCAAAAAGGAGTGATGACCAACTGGTTTTAGGGACTGTCTTCCTTCCCCTGAAAAACTGGAAATATATCAGAAGATACAACTCTACAAACATGTAGACATTAAAAGATAGCTTTTATGTAGAAAACAGTCCCTATTTTATAATTATCTGCCACAAATACTACTTTTATTTCACTTGTGATTCTTTCTCACTTGGGTTGCAATAACGTTGGATTTGTGCAGTTGCAGGGCTGTCTTAACGCATGGGCCTGATAGGCACTTGCCCGTGGGCCCCATACTAATCTGTGTATGTTAACCCTTGGAAAATTGGAAAACTTCCAAAATTAATAGTAGTTGTAGTTGTTGTAGGGGCCCCAGTACACTGCTTTGCCCGGGGCCCACAATGCTGTTAAGACGGCCCTGTGCAGTTGTTCAATTTTCCAACAAGTTGGAAACATTGGTTGCTCCATGTGAGGGTGAGATGAACATTGGCTTTGTAACTTTAAAAGGGTTTTTAATTTATTTTCAGGAAAGATTTTCAGGCAAAGCCTCTGAAAGATTTTCTTCCTCCAAAAGGCTACATATCTTTTGGGGGCAGAATAATAATACATATTTTATTATTGTGATAATTTTTGGTGAAAAATGTCAGTTTTGGCAATTTGTGATGCTTTTGTCCTCACAGCTTTTCATGCAGCCTTTCTCTTTGTCATACCCCCTGAATGCCATCTTGTACCCCCTGGGGTTGTGCGCACCCCAGGTTGGGAACCCCTGTTTTAGGGAAAAGCCCTTGTTATATAGGGTAGCAACAATTCTCTTGCCAACTACTTGCTTTATTCTTTTACAATGTTTGCAAATTACTGCTGCTGAGTCTCCAGTCTCATTTATGGAACTGTGAAGCCTGGATACTTAAGGAAAAACAGTGGTTCTGATTTTATCAAAAAGAAACAGAACATACAAAATATGCCTCCAAGGTCTCCACAGGCAATGATGACCATTTTTCATATGATCTGCAGTACTTGCTTTCTTGGTATATAGCTTTGCAAGGAAAACAAATACCTTTTCATATAAATGTGAGTTTTAGTTTTCATCCTATTTGTGCAGTGTCCTTTCATTGCAGAATCTCCTCAGCTGGTTGTGCTGAATCCTAATTTTAAACATACATTCTCAAATGTGGGTTTTGCTATTTGCTGAAATGTCTGCTTTAGTGCTATATTTAACTTCTTTATCCTTTCTTTTGGCAGTGGTTCAAAGCAGCAGTGTATTTGCACTAAAGTTTAGTCAGTGGTTTAGCACACCTGTAAATGTGATGGCTTGCAGCTCTTCTTGTATGTTGGTTCTAAAGATCAGAAGACAAAACCTGCTCTGTGCCTTGTTTTTATAATATTTCAGTTTCATAACTTCAATAATTTTATGAATAACCTAATAATAATATTCATTTCTTTTAAAAATGGAAAAATAGTATTCTTCTTAGAAGCTTATACTTTAGGGAGGTTAGATCTATCGTTTATATAAAGAAGGTACTGTTTAGCTTTTTTTTTTTTTTGAAAAAAAGTATTGAATGAGCAGGTTCATAGGATTGAAAATTCACATAGTAAAAAGGAAGCTTTTAATTTTGTGTTATGCAGTTGAGCATTTACACCAGAAAATTTGGACAAGTTTCTGTAAGCTATGACTGCATTTTGTGAGGATTTTGTGATCAAGTATACCTTTCTCACCTGGAATACCATTCACTCAGGCATGCATTCAAGTAAGAGAAGATTTAAATCATGATTTTCTATGTAATTTAGCACACATGGTGCCTTACCTTCAGGTAGAGGAACTTCATTAAAATATTCGCAAGCTGGCCCTCTTCTATAGCCTGCTGCCGTTATAGGTTTTCTCCTCTAGGGAAAGAATAATGTGGTAAACATAAGGGTGTGCACAAAAAGATCCAAAGACTTGTGGAGTATTCTGCTCCAAAGGGTTCACTTTCATTTTTACCGCTTGCCCTTCCCCTCCTCATGCTTAGCTTCTTGTGTGGCTCTATTTCACTCCCAGCAATCTTCTATTCATTGAACTTTTTGAAACTTAGCACTTAAGAGGTAAAGGGTTGATTCGTGTAAATAGCTTGGCAAGGATCAGTGCGATTAAGGTTTTTTCTCAATTCTGTATGTCTATTTTATGACTTTTTTGCTGTGAAGGAGAGGCAGACACAAATTCACAGTTTTGAGAACTGTAAAACCAAGCATCTGTGATAATATCTTCTAGATAGAAAAACTGTCCAATGATTTTACAGATACTTCTGGCATGACATTGTGAATGGATTTATGGCATTTATTTGCCAAAAAAGTGAAACACCGCATGAATATACGGTCTCATGCTAATGCAGTCTCATGCTATATAATTAAAAACTAATCCTTATTTCATGATTAATTACCTTTGAACTATAATGTATCTTAAATAGAAAACTATCTTTTCCTCAAAAAGCATTTTTTATTAAAAATGCAATTTAAATAAAAAATCCAATTTAACATTTTTAAATGGTTTTTTAAAAATCATTTATTTTTATCCACCCAGCATACATTGCTACTTGATCTTTTAGACTGGAGAATTTGAAGAAGGCTGTATGTGCTGCTGTTACCATCATTTTCTTGTCTGCTATAATTATTGATTAAAGTTCATCTGTCACAAAAGCAAGTTTTTGGTTACCACCTATGATAGGTTGGACACACTAGGCAACCTAATGTGGATTACTTTGATTCAGCAGGAGAAATCTACTGGTTGCCCATTGCATTGCCCATACAGGTCCCCAGGAGCCTATTGAATTCATGCTCTGATGCATAATGAGCATTCCTACATGGAACCAGCAGTTGCACAAAATTACAGCTGGATTAGCACTGGGGTAATACATTGCATGCCATTCAGGTGTTGCTGAATGTTATGCTAAAATCCAAGATTCATTTGAAGTAAAGGAAAGGTGAATCAGCATGTGTAGGTTTTAGTTTCTATTCACTGACAGATTGTAGACAATAAAAAGATCTTTGTTGAGTCTCCTTATCCAATAGCAGTAAAGAATTTGGGATATCATTGTCAGGAGCTATAAAAATTAATGTGCCAGAAAGAGCAATCCTGTGAACACAAGTCCACATCTGAAGGGCCTTTGGATAGATTTGACTTGGAGCTGGGAATTA